GGTTTTTTGTTTTGTTTTGTTTCTCCTTGTCCTCAGAAATGTTTACAACCTCGCAAGTCTAAAGCTAACTCTGATGCTCCCTTCCAATACAATCCTGGCATTTCTTGGCTCAAGAAGGTTGTTTTATTCTAAATTTCAGTTCAGACTCTCAGAATTATTCACTTAATCTGAGAAACCAACAGAGCTCCCAATGGGACCACCGGCAAGATTTGGGTGGAAGGCCACTAGGGGACCAGTAAAACAACTCAATCCAATCTCTCTGACTCTCTCACCACGTTCATCCGCTGGATTCCTGACTGAGCCAGAGACAGAAAGTGCCTTAGAGGACAAAAAAAGCAAGCTGATTAAAGGAAGCCCGGCCAAGTGGTTCATATCGATGCACCTGCTATAGGGACTGGATTCCTTGGGAAGGGTGGAGAGAGAGAATAATCAGTCTTGCTGAGAAATAAGTGGAAAGTCAAAGTGTTACTGGTGCCATCTGTCTGCAAGGGGCACTGTTGTTACACTGAACTGCAGACAGCAGCACGCAGATCGCTGAGCTGGGCTCCCTATCGGTTGCATTTTAGCCACATTACTTGTTGCCCTGACCACACCGCCTGCCTCTTGCGCTGGGCGTACACTCACATGTACACACAAAGAGTAAATAATGCTATGCGTGACACGCGTGGCGTGGCGCATGGGGATATTTCACCTCATTTCAACGTTACCGGATTATTACTCAGTTTATTGCGTTCCAAGACAGGAAATCAGCCCCTTTTTTACCATCTTCCTCTTAACAGACCCAATCCACATTTCTGCATGATCCAGGCCTGTGCCTTTAAACTGCTCCAAAGACAGCCTGACTGGCTTTTTTTATGTGTGTGCAATACATATATTTGGCTTTGCTATGAAGGAAGACAAATAAAAAGCAGCGAACGCCTGCAGCAGCAGAAGGGGGGAAAAATAAAAGTGGCAAGATTTATTGGGTGTTAGAAGGCATCAGCTGCAAATCGCTGATGTACGGATGCAACGAGCGGCTTGGCAAAAGGAAAAAAAATGATTTTTTTTCTTTTGCATAAGCAGTTTGGGGTTTTTATAAGTGTTTCCTCCCCCCCCTCCCCTCCGCTTTGGTGGTTGAAGGTGCCCAAATGGGCTATAGAAAGACAGGATCCTACTGGATCTTAGACAGGGATAATGGAAATAAGGGAAAAGCCTATGAACAATAAGGGCTAATGCTTTATTTAAAGGGAGATTTTAGGGAAATAGTGTTTCCCTTCGCATATCATGGATTTTTTCTCTCAGGTGTACGTGGTGACTGCCCTCAGGTATACAGTGCAATTATCATAAGCTCCAGTTGCAAGTTTAAAATGGTTCTTATGATCAGTTTTGATCCATTTCAATACATCTGAAAACGAGGGATGGGTCGTCACCCGAAAGGAGAAATCAATGAACTCAGGGCCAGGTGGTCACCCTAAAGAGGATCCCAAAGATGGAGATAATCAAAGGAAATGTAGCTTCCTTTTTGCCTTTGCAATCTCCAGTGTACAAATCCACCTTGGCTTTCTTTTAATTATTTTTTTTTTGCATTAATTTTGCATCTGGGTTTTCCTTTCCCTGATGCACCTGCTCCTGCTCCTCGCCCAGCAAAGACCTCCAGCAGCCAAGCTGGAAAAGCTGGTCTTGACGGGGTGGGGGTGGAGGGGTACGTGTTGCGGGCGTTGGGGGCTGAACTGAAGGGTTGGATGGGTGGGGATTTGGCATGGAAGGCTCGGGCTTGTATTGCTTCACTTCCAAAGCACAAGTTAGCCGCCAAGCCAAGGGAGAGGGGGTGGGGAGGCAGATCCGAAAAGGGAAGAAGGGTGCAGGAGCCGAGGGCTCAGGGAGGATGGACGGAGGGGCCAAGGAACCAGCGGCTTTCAGGGGATGGGTTGCGGGTGGAAGACCAGGGGAGAGGGGCCGGTGGCAGAGGATGCCCTGGGGAAGAAGCCAAGCTGGGTAGGGGAAGGGGGTACCATAGGACGGGAAGAGGGTGCAGCAAGATGAACAGGAGGAGAGGAACAGAGAGTGGGTAGGGGAGGATCCCCGGGCGGGGGGGGGGTTAGATGTTGCAGGGGGCTGGGCAGCAGACACCCTGTAGTAGGGGAGCACGGGAGAGCGGGGGGTGAGCGCGGCTGGAGCCGGGGTGGGAGGCCAGGGGAGCACAGGAGGGTGTGAGCGCGGCTGGAGTGTATGTGGGGGAAGCAAAGGGGGAAAGGTGCAATGCACACAGCAGGGGTGCAGCAGGAAGGGTGTGAGTGCAGCTGGAGCAGGGGGGTGAGGCCAGGGGGGAAAGGTACAATGCCCTAAGGGGGGGCGACAGCAGGGGAACACGGGGGGTGTGAGCGTGGCTGGAGTGGGGGGGGAGAGGTGCAATGCCATGGGGGAGGGACACCACTGAAAAGCACGGGGGGAGCGCCGCTGGAGCCAGGGAAAGGTGCAACCCCCACAGCAGGGGCTGCAGTGGGGGGGGAGGCGGAGGCCAGGGGAAAGGTGCAATGCGGGGGGGGAGGGGGAGGACACAGCTGGGGAGAACTGGATGTGTGTGTGAGCTTGACTGGAGCCGGGGCGGGAGGAGGCCAGGGGAAAGGTGCAATGCGGGGGGGGAGGGGGAGGACACAGCTGGGGAGAACTGGATGTGTGTGTGAGCTTGACTGGAGCCGGGGCGGGAGGAGGCCAGGGGAAAGGTGCAATGCACACAGCAGGGGTGCAGCAGGAAGGGTGTGAGTGCAGCTGGAGCAGGGGGGTGGAGGCCAGGGGGGAAAGGTACAATGGCCTTAAGG